GTTCTGAAAAATAGTCCTACGGTAGGTTGAGGGAGTGAGGCTCACGGTCTGTGAGTGATATTTAATATTTTGGACTCTGGGTTTGCAGATGAACTGAAGTGAAGTGCACACACTTGTTCCTCTCTTTCTTGAACCAACAGAAGCAGAATTAAAGCTGCAGTTGCAGGTGAAATCCACGACACTGAAGTCGGAGACAACACACCAGCTGCATTTTTTTTCCTTTTTTTTTTTTACCCCTTTTCTTTCCTTTTTTTTTTTTTTCCCCCTTTTCCCCCTTTTTTTTTTTTTTTTTTTCCCCCTTTTCCCCCTTTTTTTTTTTTTTTTTTTTCCCCTTTTCCCCCCTTTTTTTTTTTTTTTTTTTCCCCTTTTTTCTCCTTTTTTTTTTTTTTTTTTTCCCCTTTTTCCCCCTTTCTTTTTTTTTTTTTTTTGATGTTTTGCCCCGAGGCCTATCCTACTAAAGAGAAGTAATTTGGCTTATCTTATCCCAGAGACCTAGCAGCTGCTTTTTATTCTTTTTTTGTGAGGTCTTTTTTCTCATTTAGTCCAACAAAGATTGTCCTCGTAGATTGACCTTCTCTGTGCCTGCAGGCCGTTGCCCTCATGCCAGTAACTAGATAACACACTCTATCAGAGATTTGAGAAAATCATTGGGAAAGCAGTGGGGCTGATAGTGGCATCAATCCTAACCTGACACCAGGCTGGGTCAACCATTTATCTCTCCACACCGCCTCTGGTCACAACAGCGGCCATCTTGCTCTGCTACATCCTTCTTTAATAACCTTGGCCACGTCTCTATGCAGGCTGAGAGGATAAGGCGACACCGCTGCCACCGCGGCAGCAGGAGACGCCTGGTTTTTTTTTGTTTTTTTTTTACATTATTTGACCACGAAATCGCAACAAAGCGCATGTACCTGTATCACTGCTTCAGATCCACGAGATTATCAACCAGCACATGAACGGAAGATGTGTTTGAAAAAGGCAAAGGGTGCAAAAGCTCCCAAACTCGTTAGCAGGAGAGTTTAATGGTGACTCCGCCGTCATTAATTCCCCACGGTGTTCCACTTAAATGCTTCTATATTGGTGGAGCGCCAGAATCCCAGAGGCCTCCTAGAGCTGAGATCATTGCTTTTCACTTACTAACAATGAACTTATGATCGGAGCGCCGCAAGGCTTTCAAAAAATGCCCCCAAGGATCATTACAGACCCTGTGTGTGTGTGTACGCGTTTGTGTGTGTGTGTGTGTGATGCCAATGAGGCCAGGAGAGCAGCAGTGTGTCCGAGGCTCATCTCGTCGCTCCGTGGCACAGCCCAGGATGAGTGGGGAGGTTAAATGGGGCGTCATCAATCTCAATGAAGTGCAATTATTTTCCCACTTATTAATCATTGCAGGCTAATAGCTAGTGGCAAAGCTGCGCCCGCCATTTGTCAAACTTAGCAGATTTCTGTAATTTTGTTTCCCCGGTTTCCCTCTAATGTTGGTGTAGACTTTGGCAGATATCTATGGACGGCAGCAATAAGTCTGTGCCTCCGAGTATCTATCTCCTATACCTGCGCCGCAGAAACGAAGTGAACTTCTCGTCGTTTCTCTCTGTGAGTGATTCTCTCCATTTCAGAGCTGAGTGACTATTTCATGGTCTGTGGCAGAGCAGAATGGAGAGCTTTGTTTTACCGACTGCAGCACCGTCCACCTATTGATGGTTAACCACACCACAGACCCGGACAAACTTCCAGCCTGACTCCAAACACTGCGGCTGCTTTGATTAGAATTTGGCTGCTTGCTGTGCATGCATTTACGTTTCATCAGACACTGAGGGATGTGACGCAGCGCCACACACTGGCACAGCGCCGCGATGTTTATAGGAAGGGTCATTATGTACAGGTTTGTCTAACAAGCAGCAGTTGGAACCGGGCCTAATCAGGTCATGATGAAAGAGAGGCTTAATAAAGAAAGGAGGCTGACGAGCTCAAACACTAGAGGTCAGCAAATGCATTCATGCAGTTAATCAGTGTTACAATAAGCGTTTTCTTTTCCAACAACAACAATAAAATAACAAAATAAACTGTTATATAAATACTGTGAGGATCAGTTTTGCCATAAATTTATACAGATTAATAAGAGACTTTCATGTCCCGATCACCAAATGCTGCACAAAAAAATGACTTCTAAACAGATTTATAAGAGACTTTAATGTCCCGATCACCAAATGCTGCACAAACCATAGTTTAACGTTAACCAACTTCAGGCAAGACCACTAGGGGGTGGTATTTACACAGCTCTGGAATTGCTCCTGGTTTCATCTTTGTTTTCTTAAAATATTAGAAACTGTATACTTTAATTACTTACAAAATGAATAAAGGAGAAGAGAACGAACAACTAAAAGTACCATAATGAGTCCATTGATGATTGACTTAATGACTAATAAGTAATAATATGGAAATCGGTTCTACTAACTACAGAATTACGTTGCTTCCCCTATGGCTTCACTTTTTAGACAACTACAATATTTTAAAAAGTACAGTTCGTTTACAGCATCTTGTAATGCTATTATGTGAGCAACCAAGTAAATAAACAAACATACATAAATGAACATTTAACAGCCTTTGCATGCACAAAAATAAAAATAAAATGTAAACATAATGGGTTTACAAGAGGTAAACTAGTATATCTAATGTCTAAGTCGTAAAAACCTGATCTGAATGACTCAGAACCTCCTCAGACATCCAGAAGTAACTAAATCAATAAGCCCCGTAATGATACAAAAATGTATATTCATAAAATATCCATTAAACTTAATGAGTGTAGCAGATAGTGGGTGTAAAAAATTTTACGGCCAAGTTCCAAATAAGTAATTAAATCAGCAATTAAACCTGGATCTATGTTCCCTTTCACTGTATTTCCACAGGCATTCTGGAAGATTCACGAGATATTTGTATTATTATTTTTTTTTTTTCCTACTGAGCTCCAGCCCCTCAGCTGCAGCCGATGTGGGTGTGGCTCAGTCGGAGACCACGATGTCACTTTCCAGCCACCAATCAGAATTTGGACGTTGGTAATGGATGGATGTATTTACAGTTGTTGGTTGGCATCTCTACAAAATGTTGCCTCTGCTGAGGATGTTGCTGCTCGGAATGCACAGCTTGTTATTTGTGCACAGAGCAAATACAAAAAATAAGAGGTTATAAAATCTGATTTAACAACAGCAACACAGTCCATTTACTCCATAACAACCACAAATGTCTGTAATTTCCCAGTGAGGGATCAATAAAGTACATCTATCTATCTGAAGTGATCCACAGTTCACTCCATTTTCTCCCATTCACTCTTATCACACGGTTCTTCGCAACTTTCTACGTTATTCTTCCACAAAGAATCTGTAGTTGTGAGACAGAATGAGACAAATTCCTGTGCAGCCAAAAGACTTGGTGCTCGTACTGACGGGATTTTGCTTGTTCTGACCTGGCAGGGGGAAAAAAAAGTCTATTGTATATGAGTTTAGGCAAAATGTTCTGTGAATATTCAAACTAAAATAATTATATATATATATATATATGCATAATTATTGTATGTCACATATGTATCTATATATATATGTATGTATGTATCGCTCTGTGATTGGCCCTCAACAACTGTCTTTGGCCTGGCAGCAGCTGGGTCACTAAATGACGTTAGGGTGAAATGTTCATTATATCACGTATGGTCAAAGTCGGACATCTAGTGGTAGAATTGGGAACACACACCACTCCTTTTTATATTCCATATATTCTAAGTGATAGTATTACCCTCTCCTCCGCCCCCGAAATCACGTAAATCACATTAGTATATGTATCTATTTTTTTTCAAATCAGTCTGTGTTTGTTTTCTGATTAAAGACATCGTTTTCAAACATCCTTTTACTACTTTGTGCGACTGACGTAAATCAATACAAATTACTTCAAACAATAAAATCATCCGATTAAAACTGGATAAACAAGCCGTTAATCAACAATGTTTGTATTGGGGAGTAAAATGAATTATTTTCTGCAGACTTTTCTTTTGTTTTTTGTTTGTATTGGGGAGTAAAATGAATTCTTTTCTGCAGACTTTTCTTTTGTTTTTTTTGTATAATATCTCCTTGTTCTTAAAGGTATATTCTTGAGAAAGCATATAGTTCAACTAAAGATTAAATATTATTTACTCAATTTAAGACATTTCCAATCTTTTATTTAATTTACACACTGCTCTTAAAAAAAATATTACCCTTAAAAAGTCGATGCATCTATAACTGTAGTAACTACGTCTGGCCACAAGATGTCCCCCAAACACACCCATTACCCTTAAAATGTAGAGGCATCTATAACTGTAGTAACTAAGTCTGGCCACAAGATGTCCCCCAAACACAAGGAAACGAACCACTGCACCGTTTTAACAAAACGAATAACAGAGCAGTAAAATGTAAAGTAAGCGTTTCCCCAATTCATGTGACGTCATAGCAAACGTTTTACACTACAAAGCAAATTAGAAATTTTTTTGAAAAGGTGTGTGTGTGTGGGAAGACGCTGTTCCTCAGTCTGGTGGTCCTGCCTTTGATGCTTACTTTTGGATTAATAATTAATCAACAATAATTAACAAAAAATATTTTAATTGCATTAAATGCATTAATGTGAGATGACAATTGTTATTTAAATAATTATGTATATGATAAAACGGTGTTGACCAGCCGACCCTCAATTATGATGACAACAAAGAGATGTTATGTTTTCTCTCCAACACGGGGGCCCCTTCATTCCACCCTTGTCGACACTCGTCCCTACAAACGTGTTTACGCGGCCCTGTGCGGAAGCTGACTGGTTCATTTGTTCCTGTTGTTTCCAGTGAACTGCTCCTTTATAACTCAGAAGTCTGCTCCACATATGGAGACGGTGTCTCCGCCCAGTTACAACAAAACCAACTCCCACTCCTGTTGTCTCCGCCCAGTGTGTGTGTGTCTATGTGGTTGCGTGTGCGTGTGCGTGCGTGTGTGGACAGGAAGATAACAGTGGAGACTAAAGCAGCAGCAGCAGCAGCAACAGTGCTGTGGCACTTTCTCTTCACGGACATGACAGCACAGATGCCAGACTGAAACTGCGCCGAACTTCCACTGCGCGAGGCGATCCTTTTATTTCTCTCTCGTGGGCGTTTTCTGCTGCAGACGCTCCAACTTGTGGCAGAAGTCAGTGCGTGTGTTTGTAGTGTGAACGCAAGGGAGGAGGAGGAGGGGGGAGAGAGGAGAGGAGGAATGCACGGGTTCGACGGATCTCGTTCCTGTGCGTTTGTTCCCCCCAAAGATCAGTGTCGTGACTCGGTCCAGGTGAGAGAATCGATCGTGCAACCATCCACGTAGAACATGCAGCTGCACAAGGGGCTCTAACACGGTTGTTTACCTGCGTTGAAGCGTGCACGTCGCGCCTGTGTGCAGAGCGACTCTCCGTCATGGGGAACTACCGCGCGTAACGCTGGCTCTCTCCATGGAGCCGCGCATCACGAGCCGCACGTTAACGCACACGGAGTGACTTGAATCAAGATGAGTCTGGACCAGGGCGGGATCTCCTTACAGGTGCCTTGTTTTGGTGCATGTCCCGGCAAAGAGAGCTCCAGTGGTGGCGCTGGTGACACCACTACCACCAACAGCAGCAGCAGCGGCGGCGGTGGTTGGGGAGGAGGTGTCAACAACGCCGCAGCTGGAGCTGGAGCTGGACTCCCTGCAGCCGGGACTTACTGGCAGGACTCTGCGATGTCCAGCGGGATGTACAGCCCCACCGCCGTGACCTGCCCCATGGAGGTCGGTGGGCTGCTGTCCACAGGGAAGTCCTCGTCTAAAAGCAGGCCGGTGACCGTCGCCTATGTGGTGAATGGTGAAACGAGTCAGCAGAATAATAACGCGGAGAGTTTGGCTCTGCAGTGTCTGAAGGACGCCTGTGATGCCGTGGGCAGCAAACTGGAGACGGTCAACTTTGGGAAACTGGACTTTGGGGAGACCACGGTGCTGGACAGCTTTTATAACGCAGGTGAGTCCAAAAAAAAAGTCAGAAAAACCTGCTTTCCAAAACTCACAAAACTCATAAAGTTTTATGAAAATCAACTTTGCAAGTCAACAAACTCACACTGCCTCTAGTGGTTAAAGTGTGTATGAAAAATGTAAAATGCACAAAGCCTGTTTTGTATGTTTATGTTTTATATAATATTAACTATTTACTATTTTAAAAAAAGAGTCACTCTTTGTTGAATCCATTTGGGATCAAGGATCAGAATCTGGGCCCGTCTAGAATTGGAGACTAAACCTGCAGCTCAATTAAAAAATCACACAAAGTTCCCGGTACTTTTCTGGGTCCCCCACAAGAGGGACAGTTTGAGGCTTAAAAAAAAAAAGTTTTATTTTAGAATCTCAAAAAAAAAAGAGTGTAATGGATTTTATAGTTACACAGACATATATATAAATCATTTTATCATTTAAGATGAACCAGATTACAGATTTTAGTTACACAGACATATATATATATAAATTATTTTATCATTTAAGATGAACCAGATTATCCTTTACACGACATGCACTACATAATATTATGACTTGTTGTTGACATGTGACATGTTTATTTAATCATTATGATAATGTCACCATTATATGGTATAGATATAAATTGTGCACAAATTTTTGTTCGATCCTATGTCACAACATTAAAGCGTTACACTGATGTTTAACTCCATTAGCATCAGCTCAGTGCAGCAAACCACCACGAGTCAGTCACCTCTGCAGCGCAGTACCTCATGACAGCACGGTGCAGGAATTCTCATCTCTCCTCCAAAGTAGTTTCAGGGGTCAAAGGTTGCATGTTTGCAGCATGCTGCAGTGATGGTGTTCCTAGAAATGGCTTGCAGGACAGGTTGCTCTGTGTTTCCCTGAACATAACAAATATCTGCTCACATGTCAGAGCATGAGCTCACTGATTTCATGTCACGTTTTTTTTTTTTTTTCGGTGATGTATTAAAACAAATTGGACCTCACAGACAGAAGGAGGAGGAAAAAATTGATTTGGGCTATTGTTATAGTTCTCCCCCTCACACGTAGTTTCCCCCTTTCCATTGTGCACCTCCCGTACGGTGCTGGACGATCACAGGGTTGAGCCATGAGGCTGGACTTTCCACTGGAATCTTCGTGAGCAGCAGTGGAACCCCACTTGAACCCTGACTGAAGGCAACTTTCCCCCATTTTTAAAAAAAAAATCTGTACTCTATGTGTAGTAACTTGTTGGTTCCTGATTTCCTTGGAAATGTTCATGTTGAGGTATAATAAGTACACACACACACACACACACACACACACATCCAACGATCTCCTGGAAAGCAGGCTTTCCAGGGACTGTGGTCAAAACAAGAAGCAGCTGTAACGTCCAGAGATGTCAGGAGCCAGAGAGGCTGCAGGCAGTGTTTGCATTCAGCTCTGATATTTGTTGTCAGAAATGGTTCAGCAAATAGTGCATAAATGACGAAAGATGTGCGACTGCAACTGCTGCTGCTGCACATAGTGCTGCTGCTGCAGACAGCAACACCTGAGCGAAGGTTGTTAGCTGTCAAGGGTACTTGATAGGTTTCCTTGTAGTTACTTCTTAACAGAGGTGTAAAAAAAACATCAATACTGTGAAATATCACAATATTACCATATCAACATACCACAGTGATGTATTGCTTTTTAAAATAACACTTAACAGTCAAATATCAGTGTCGTGGTTCATTTTATTTTTCATTTATTTCTGATTACAACTGTAGATCCCTCTGTTCCATTGGTAGTAACCTGATGTCAAGATGGAACAACTATGATGACAGTTTTCCTACAATTTAATTGTTTAAAATAACCAGCAATATACTGTCGTGCCTTAAGTATTTCAGTGTATTTTATTATATCATATTATTGCTGTATTGCCATACTTCTTGTAATGCCAGATTCTTGCTGCTTAACAACATCACTCAGCAGTTCCATAGAATTAGAGGTATTTGCATCAGTCGCACACGTGTTTCCGACATGCGCTCAGGCAAGTTACTGAAACAGCTATGTTACCAGTCATTCCCAGAGTCTTAGTGCCAGTCCCCGGTCTGGACAAATAGAGCGAGGGGCATCTGGTGTAAATCCTGTGTCAATATCACTGTGTGTATACGTGCTGCAGTGACCCAGACTGAAGGTAACAGTCCTGACGGGAAACACAAGGCTGAGTCACTTACTGAAGGAGAGGCTGAAAACAACTGTCAGTGTTTGTAGTACACTGTTTTTAGAATTAGAAACCTCTGATGTATGTACACAAGTTGGGAAAACACTCAAATCAGCCAGATTTGAGGAAGTTAAAAACAGTTCCTGTGCTGTTCACACTGTAACAGGTTCTTTCCACCGTTGTATACATATAGAAATGGATGTTTTGTAAAAAATAAATCCCACGGCGTAAAGTCAAGCAAACAAGGTAGCAACACCGCTATCCATATGAATCCACATAAACCAGAGCCGTATTGTTTCTGCACTGAACCATAACATGCTGTTCCAACAGTCGCACCACGGTGTCACTTAAACACAAACAGAAGCTGTTGCTTGTCATAACATCACATTATTAGCTGTGCAAACATCAACTTATTTTTTTTTTCCACCCCATCTTTCCCCTCTACTCTCCTTCCTCTAACTTTCTTTGGAATTTGCTCATGCAAACCACATGGGAGGTTGGAGGCATTCTTCCCCGAAATGTGTTGTCTTTATCTACACACACATAGACACACACACACAGAAAACACACACCATAGATGCATTACTTCATCCTCTTCCTGCACGAGTGTCTGTGTCAGATATGACAGTCAGGACAAGCGAGTTGCAGCACGCCTTTGTGTTTGGAAAAATGATTTACCAAATTTAAATATGACTATGAGTTCCTGTCTGGTCATGTCATCATGTCACGTGACGTCGCAGACAAAGTGAGAAGCCGACCGTCACGACTCCAGATGGGACATGTGTGATTTTGGAAGAAGGAATATTTTCAAGTGGCACGTGGCTTGGGACATGTGTGATTTTAGGAATATTTTCAAGTGGCACGTGGCTTTTCAGATTTCACTAGTGTCAATCAGAGTCAGAGTCTAAAACAGGCCGAGGCGTCGAAAAACCCTGTCGCTGTGATCACATGATCGTGACTCACCCTGAAGTTTGTCCTATCACTTATCTGAACAGATGGTTAACAGTGTTTCTTCAGAACACTCTAAGAACTTAATTATTAATTGTTCCTATTTCAAAGGTGCAGCAGGTGGGAACACTGGGAGAACTGGAAAATGTTATTACTGATGTTTACACACACACACACGAACCAAAGGATTTTCAGTGGTAACTGATGACCTTTCTGTTTGGAGTTTCCATATTCTTCTCATGGATTTTCTCTGATTTTCCTCTACATAACCCAAATAGAAGTAGTACTTTCAGATACTGAAGGCAGAATATTAATATTCAATGTGCTGAACTGAAGGCAAGACGGTTTTTCTGTGTTTTGCAACCATAAAAATGGAGTCTTTCACACATCACTGTATGAATACAGTCGGTGGTTGATTAGGTCAAGATAACGAGATAACATGCGTCTCCATTGTCACAGAAAGCAATGTTCCATTGAACAGACTTGTACTGTTCCCCTGTCTGGTAGGGGACCGAGGGCGGGTGGGTGTTCGGTCATATCTGTGGTATGCAGAGCTTTATCTGTGCTGCTCATCACTGTTGCTCTTCTATGTAATTTAAAGCGAGCTCACTGTGGCTTTGAACAGTCCTCCAGTTCACCCAGAGGGGCTCTGCCGCTGCTGGAGTGTTTGTTCACCTCTTGTTTTGCACCGAGAGCTGGAGTGTAGCTATCAGGGCCGTGTGTGCCAGCGTCGCAGCTCACACACTGATTTCACTTCTGTCCACTTGTGCTCCAGCCTTACTGCAATATTTCAAAGGCTGTGAAGAGCACATGATTCCAGAATGGCAAAAATGGTTAATGTATTTGATGCACAACAAAGAGAAATCAGCAGCGTTTCCTTATGCCTATTGAATCCATACTTCAATAAACCTGATGTTCCCCACAAGAAGTACCAAGATCTAGGTACAATACTTTGGATCATGTGACAAACTAAAAGAAAAATCATGCCAAAATACCAAACACAGTGTTCTATTTATTAATCATTAACAACTAGTCACAATGAATCCAAATTATTAAAGTTGTCAGTTTTTCATTCCCTGACCAATGGTATGTGTACAAACTGCAAATCAATATCTTATCTGTCCTTTTCCAAAAGATAACGAAATAGCCAATCATTAACATAATTATATTGCTAACAGTTAAGTGCTAAAATTAGTACTGGGTAATGCAAATGTTAGCCAAAGGTAAGTAAAAGTTAGCCAAAAAATTGTAATAAATATAGCTGTAGCTAATGGTTTCCAAATGTTTTTTGCAGCGCCCCCTTTTGTAGATAGGATTATTGTTGACCCCTTCTTCCTTAATAACAGTTTTAGAAGTTTTCCAACGAATATTCCTTTAAAAAAATGCTATTCTTGAGAAAGTCAGAAAACAAAAAAGAAAAAAAGAAAAACTGAATTGTTGTAGAGATAAAACTTTGAACTGTTGTCCAGTGGAGACTAATGGAGACAAAGCTCCTGCCTCAGCCCAGTACTCCTCGTGGAGAACATCTTGAAGCATCACCAGCTTTCACATTACAGAGTCAACTTCCTTACAGTGTCCGCTGCTCTGAAATCTCACCCCCGCCCCCCACCCCGTCTTGGGCTGAGCTGTTTATCCTCCCTCCTGTTTACCCTGCATGCTTGGCTGCTCCTCAAGAGTCACAGAGAGAGCACAAGGTCATGGGGAATTAGGCCACGAGCCGGTCTGTGGCGTCTGAGAGGAGCGTCGACTTCTCGGCGAGAGCGACTGCTATGGACTTGAGCACTGGAGCATGTTAGCTGGTGAAACTGTGACTTTTTCATATTGCTCTGTTCTGATTGATGTCTTCACAGGAAGGACAG